TTGGCACAAAAACAGACACATAGACCAATGGAATAGAATAGAAACCCCAGAACTAGACCCACAAACATATGGCCAACTCATCTTTGACAAAGCAGGAAAGAACATTCAATGGAAAAAAGACAGTCTCTTGAACAAATGGTGCTGGGAGAACTGGACAGCAACATGCAGAAGAATGACACTAGACCATTTTCTTAAACCATTCCCAAAAATAAACTCAAAATGGATAAAGGACCTGAATATGAGACAGGAAACCATCAAAACCCTAGAGGAGAAAGCAGGAAAAAACCTCTCTCACCTCAGCCGCAGCAATTTCTTACTTGACACATCCCCAGAGGCAAGGGAATTAAAAGCAGAAATGAACTATTGGGACCTCATCAAAATAAAAACCTTCTGCACAGCAAAGGAAACAACCAACAAAACTAAAAGGCAACCAACGGAATGGGAAAAGATATTTGCAAATGACATATCGGACAAAGGGCTAGTATCCAAAATCTATAAAGAGCTCACCAAACTCCACACCCGAAAAACAAATAATCCAGTGAAGAAATGGGCAGAAAACATGAATAGACACTTCTTTAAAGAAGACATCCAGATGGCCAACAGACACATGAAAAGATGCTCAATGTTGCTCCTCATCAGGGAAATACAAATCAAAATCACACTCAGATACCATCTCACTCCAGTCACAGTGGCCAAAATGAACAAATCAGGAGATGATAGATGCTGGAGAGGATGTGGAGAAATGGGAACCCTCTTGCACTGTTGGTGGGAATGCAAATTGGTGCAGCCACTCTGGAAAACAGTGTGGAGGTTCCTCAAAAAATTAAAAATAGACCTACCCTATGACCCAGCAATAGCACTGCTAGGATTTTACCCAAGGGATACAGGAGTACTGATGCATAGGGGCACTTGTACCCCAATGTTTATAGCAGCACTCTCAACAATAGCCAAATTATGCAAAGAGCCTAAATGTCCATCAACTGATGAATGGATAAAGAAATTGTGGTTTATATACACAATGGAGTACTACATGGCAATGAGAAATAATGCATTATGGCCCTTTGTAGCAATGTGGATGGAACTAGAGAGTGTGATGCTAAGTGAAATAAACCATACAGAGAAAGACAGACACTCTTTCACTCTTATGCTTTCACTCTTATGTGCATCCTGAGAAACTCAACAGAAACCCATGGGGGAGGGGAAGGAAAAAAAAAGTGGTTAGAGTGGGAGACAGCCAAAGCATAAGAGACTCTTAAAAACTGAAAACAAACTGAGGGTTGATGGGGGGTGGGAGGGAGTGAAAGGTAGGTGATGGGTTTTAAAGAGTGCATCTTTTGAGATGAGCACTGGGTGTTGTATGGAAACCAATCTGACAATAAATTTCATATATTAAAAAAAAAGTGGATAGAATACGAAGCTATTGAGAAAGACATTTTAATTATTCCAAAGATATTTATTGAGCCTCTAATATATGCCTAACAATTTGCTGTGTGGCAAGACACAACAGTAAGGATGGCAAACTGGATGTTCCAAAAATGTGGCGACAATAGCTCTTGTTCTCCACAGTCTTTTTTTTTTTTTAATTTTTTTTTCAACATTTATTTATTTTTGGGACAGAGAGAGACAGAGCATGAATGGGGGAGGGGCAGAGAGAGAGGGGGACACAGAATCAGAAACAGGCTCCAGGCTCTGAGCCATCAGCCCAGAGCCCGACGCGGGGCTCGAACTCACGGACCGCGAGATCGTGACCTGGTTGAAGTCGGACGCTTAACCGAATGTGCCACCCAGGCGCCCCTCCACAGTCTTCTTAAAATGTAACTGCCATTCATCCCATAGAGATTTGGATGTTGATGTTTCCTCCATTTGAATCTGGGAAAGTTTGTGATTATGGTAAAAGTGAAGTTATATAACTTCTGAGGATAAGTCATAAAAGGCGATATTGTTTCTGCCTGAATCTTTAGGAAACCTTGCTCTTGGAATCAATAAGTTCATGAAGAGGCCCACATGGAGAGGAACTGAAGTCAGTACCAATCTGCCAGTCACAGGCATGAATCATCTTAAAGTTGATCCTTGGGTGTAGCTTGAGTTGGGCCACCCCCACTGATACCACATGGAGCAGACACTCACAGAGACTCTATATTATATATTTGTGTGCTAAATATGTGATCGTTGCTATATTAAGTCTCTGTGTTCGCGTCCTGGGTGGTTCAGTCAGTTAAGCGTCCAACTTCGGCTCAGGTCATGATCTTGTGGTCCATGAGTTTGAACCCCGGGTTGTGTTCTGCGCTGATAGTTCAGAGCCTGAAGCCTGCTTCCTATTCTGTCTCCCTTTTTCTCTACCCCTCCCCTGTTCTCTCTCTCTCTCTCTCTCTCTCTCTCTCTCAAAAATAAACTTTTTTTTTAAATTTATGGCTCTGTGTTTGGAAGTGGTTTATTATACAGCCATAGCTAACTGGAATAGTGAGGTACAAGTCAGATTTGTATCCTTCTAAAGCTTGAATGATAAATAAAATTAAACAAGCAATTATAATATAATGTGAAAACTTTTCTAATATGACCAGTACCTTAATGTAGGGGTATATTTAGAGGACGGATTGCAGTTTTCAAGAATAATAGCTTCTCTGAAGAAGTAACATCTAAGATGACATATGCAGGGTGAATGCAAAATGGAAGTTGAATGTCTTAGAGATGGAAAGAAAAAATATGTCTTGATAATAGCCTGTGTGAGGAGAGTGGGGAGTATGGGAGAAAAAACCAGGAAGAAAAAAAAATTAATGCAAAAATTAAATGATATCACATTAAGAAACTTGGAATTTATCCTAAAATAAGTGATAATCCAAAGTAATCTTTTAATTAGCTAAGAATGTGGTCAGCTTTGCATATTAGAAAGATTAGGAACCAAAGGGATGTGCAGATGGCTTATGTAGTCACAGTTATTCAATCCTTCTCTATCTGCAGAGTTTCTCGTCTTGGTTAATGGAAGCTACATCCTTTTAAATGCTCAGACTTAAAACCTCAGAAGCATTCATCCTATCTATTTGCAAGTTCTGTCCTATTTTTATATCTAGAATCTGACCATTTTTACCATCTGTATTGCCACCATCCTGGTCAAAACCACCATCTCTCACATCAATTATTGCAAAAACTTTCTAAAAGATATCTCTTTTATTACATTTGCCCCACATACCTAAAGGTCTATTCTCAACACAGCAGTCCAAGTAAACTTTCAAAGCCAAAATCAGATCATCTCATACCTCTGCTCAGAACCCTGAAGTGGCTCCCCATTTCCTAAGAAAAAAACAAACTCTATGCAATGACTAAGAGGCTGCATATAATCAGGCTCCCTGTTTTCTCCCTCACTTTCTTTTCAACTTTTCTCCCTGTCTGTTCAAGCCACACTGGGACACATTGACAAACCAGCGGCCTCCAGCCGTGGGTCTTAGCTTTCTTAGCTGTTGTTTCCTTCTGGAAGGTCTCTCCACAGACATCTAATTTTCTCAGCTCCTTCAAGCCTTTGTTCAAATCTCACCTATTTAAAACTGCGGTTAGAAATCCCTTCATTTATCATTCCTTAAACTTCCTTATCTTGCTCTATTATTTTTCTTTTTCTTGAAGCCCATATCATCCTATAACATACCATAAAATATAATTTATTTATTTGTTCATTCATTTATTCATTCATTCATCCATTCACTCATGCACTCATTCATTATGCCTACTACAGTAGTCTCCTTTATCTGTGGGAGATGCATTCAAAACCCTCAAGTGGAGGGGCACCTGGGTGGCTCAGTCAGTTAAGCATCAGACTTCAGTTCAGGTCATGATCTCATGGTTCATGAGTTCAAGCCCTGCATTGGGCTCTCTGCTGTCAGCATGAAGCCTGCTTTGGTCCTCTGTCTCCCCTTTCTCTGCCCCTCCCCCTGCTCTCTCTCTCTCTCTCTCTCTCTCAAAAATAAATAAACAATTAAAAAAAAAAAAAACAGTGGATGCCTTAAACCAGTACTACCAGTGGGTAGTACTGAACCTTATGTACACTATATTTTTCCTATATGTACATATCTGTGATAAAGTTCTATTTAAAAATAAGGCACAGTAAGAGATTAACAACAAATAACTAATAACAAAATATAGCAATTATAACAATATACTGTAATAAAAGTTATGTGAATGTGGTCTGTCTCTCTCTCAAAATATGTTATTGTGATGTACTTGGCCTTCTTGTGATGTGAGATGATAAAATGCCTAAGATGAAGTGGGGTGAATGATGCCTGCATCATGACCTAGTGTTAGGCTACTATTCACCTTCTGACAACATGTCAGAAGAGGATCATCTGCTTCTGCACAATGATCGACCCCAGGTAACTGAAACTGCAAAAAGTGAAACCATAGATAAGTGGGGATTACTGCATTCTTTTATATGTCTTCACTTCTATCTGCTCCCATTCTTGATAGAATGTAAGGAAGTATGATGGGAGCAGAAATCATTTGTTCACTGGTGTAAAAAACTACCTCAAGAAGTATCTGGCACGTAGTAGGCATTAAATATTTGTTTAATGAAAGACTAGATGATAGGTAGGTAGGGATGAAAGACCCTATTCTTTTCACCACATCTAATTCATCCTTTATAATCTAACACAACTTTTGACATGCCCTTTTCTCTGCTGAAATTCTACCACTGGGTTGTTTGCATTACCCTTTTTTCTCTTCACTGTGACTGTCATTGGAATTTAATCAACTATCAAAGTCATCTTGGCCCTTTGGCCAGACCAAATACAAGATAGAGCATTTCAAATATTAATATGCATGCCACCCTAGGGAGGAAAATAGGAGTGGCCTACATAGGAATCAAACATTTAAGTGACTTATTCAAGGTCACCTTTTCAATCAATATGGAAAATAATGAGTACTTTAAAGGGCAAGATTTAAATTTAATATATTTGGAGGAATTGATAAGATGATGAAGAACATGCTGAATGAAACTAAGTAGAAGCAAGTATTGAGTAGGACAAAAACTATATACATATATAGTAAGTGAAAAATAATCCTTCCCTTTCTTACACCACTGCTATGTTTGGATTCATCCATCCTGTATCTGAATTCTACTCTTCTCTCTTGATAATGGATGATAAGGAACAACTCCCTCAGATTCCCTTCAGGATCACAGGATGGTTCGTAGTCATCTCATATCATAAATAATAATTTTTTCATTTGTATTGAGAATCTATTATATATGTGTCACACAGGTACTAAGGCCCTCAGATTGTAGGAAGAAACAAAAGATATATAATTTGTTTGCTCTTGGAACTTATAGTCTGGATCTTCCAGTCGTTAATGGAAGCAGCAATAATCAACTAGAGTTTAGTTAGTATGTCTGTCAGTTGCTCCTGGCGTGTTTTACAGATGCCACTTACCCTAGTCTTGGCCTCTTAGGGAACTAAAAGTAATTAGAGAATACACAGATACTTTTTATTTCTTTCATCTGAAAAAAATTGTATTGCTATTATTTCTAGGATTTCTAGAATATTCAGCATATTTTTTCTTGAGCATTTGTTCTGGACACTGTTCTAAGTTTTGGTATCAGCAGTAAACAAGATACAAGATACACATAGTTGCTACTCCCATGAATATTCCAATATAATGAAAGTAAATATCTTGTCCTAAACCAGAATCAATGAAAGAAACTTCCATAACAGTTTTATAAATCCTGATGATTCAATATTTTCTCTACCTTTCTCCCATTTTTCATGGCTATGACAACCTACCAACGATAGGGGATCAGGAATTGGAAAATTTAAGGATGAAGTCTTTACTGGTGTTTCTCTGCTTTCCTACTATCCATGGTTTTCTATACGCCTAAGTTGTTCCTATTCAGTATACTACCAACCATCTCAAAAGTCTCATTACCTTATGTGTTAAATCTGGCATGTGCTTTTAATGCTCAGTCTCTATAAGTGAAAATCCTAGCATTTATAGATAATATACCCCACACAGAAAAGTGCATGTCTGGACAAGTGCCACAGAAGTAAAAAGTGTGGGAAGGCATTCTAAGGCAAATAGCATGGCAACAAATTAAAGGAGTCATTTTAAAAATATAAAGCCATTTAAGGCTAAAACACACTGATACCATATTCTGCTTCAAACTGAACCTGTGTTTCACAATTTTAATAATATGTGGACACCTTATAAAGAACAAAGACATTCTTTCTCTCCCCCGTCCTCATCCCACGGGTAGCTTCAGTAATTATATTCTGTTTCTCAAAAATATTGAAGTTGTGATTTACTCCTTATGTTCATAGGTATTGTATAACTATAAAATTAAAATTATAAGCAAAATACAAAGCCATAAAACCAATAAAATTAAAACATTAATGCCGGACTTCTTTTGCTTCTGGTCAAAATAAAGTATTAGGGAAAGGATTTAGCCACCTATTAGAAATAGGTCTCAAGTCATTGGAAATCTGACAATGAGGAAGAGTGAGCTCTGAGCAATGGGAAAAAACACAATGAACTTTGAAACTCCCCAAGCTTACCACACAGAGAAGTTCCAGACTACAGCTTAGGAAAGGGGGAACCCATGCAAAGAAACTTGCCATATTCCTGAGTTGAGGAGACAGAGCTGAGAGTCAGGGCAAGAGTTTGCAAGAAAGCATACCAGAGAGCAAAGAGCTGGTAAAGAGAGTACTCTTGAGACCTAAAGACATTTTACTTCAAGTCTTAAGGTGGATTCTGATCAGCACAAGCCTGTGAGGAAATTATCCAAGGCTGGGGAAAAGAAGTACCTAAAGGATTAGAGGAAATAATCTCTGGAACACACACAAGAACTGAAATAGTTGCCTGTTTCTATTAACCAGAGTGAATGATGATATAATTCACAGGGTATAGATGGCATACTCAGAAGTCTTTTGCCAAACTTCCCATGATCTGATACAAAAAGCTTAAAAGCGAGATGTAAAAGAATCAAACAGTTCCGAATAACTGTATCTAAGAATAAACTGCAAAATTTCTCTAATAATATAAATGCATCCAGCATTCAACAGGTAAAATTTGCAATGTCTGGCATCCAATCAAAACTTATCAAGAATGAAAAGAAGAAGAAAAATAAGACTATAAAGAAGAAAATGTATAAAAAGCCAGAAATTCTACAAATGGTGGAGATAGTAGGTAAGCATATTAAAAGTTACATAACTGTATTTCATATGTTCAAAAAGATTGGACATGTTTAGAAGGTACATCAAAGATATACAAACGACTCAAATTGAATTTCTAGAGATGAAAACTACAATATTTGAAATTAAACCTACCCTTGCAGGGATGAATGGAAAATTAGAAACTTAGTGAACTTGAAAATAGCAGTAGAAACCATCCAAAATGAAATACAGAGAGTAAAGGATGTTTAAAAAAGAATAAAGAATCAGTGAGCTGTGGGATAATATCAAGCAGCCTAATATATGAATAAATGTAAATGCAAAAGAGAAAAGGAGGAAAAACATTGAATAAATAATGACTAAATATTTCCCACATTTGATAAATATTATGAACTCAGAGATCCAAGAAGTTCAATGAACCTCAAGAAAGAGAAACATAAAGAAAATTAAGTGAAGGCACATTATAATAAAACCACTTAAAACCAATAATAAGAAGAACCTTGAAAGCAGCCAGAGAAAATAGACACACAGAGGAAGAAAAATAAATTACTTAAATTTTTTTTTATGTTTTCACTTAAATTTGAGTTAGTTAACAGACAGTGTAATATAAGTTTCTGGTGTACAATATAGTGATTCAACACTTCCATGTATCAGTACTCATCACAAGTGCCCTCCTTAATCCCCATCATCTATTTAACCCATCCCCCTACCCACCTCTCTTCTCAGTTCTCTATAGATAAGAGTCTGTCTCATGGTTTGCCTCTCTCTCACTCTAGTCTGTCTCATGGTTTGCCTCTCTCTTTATCTCTCTCTTTTTGCTCACTAATCTTGTTAAATCCCACATATGAGTGAAATCATATGGTATTTGTCTCTCTCTGACTGACTTATTTCACTTAGCATAATACTCTAGCTCCATCCACGTCATTGCAAATGGCAAGATTTCATTTTCTTTATGGCTAATATTCCTGTGTGTGTGTGTGTGTGTGTGTGTGTGTGTGTGTGTGTAAATACCACATCTTCTTTATCCATTTATCAGTCAAAAGACACTTGAGCTGTTTCCATAATTTGGCTATTGTAGATAATGCTGCTATAAACACCAGGGTGCATGTATCTCTCTCAATTAGTATTTTTTCATTCTTTGGGTAAATACCAAGTAGTACAATTGCTGGAATATAGGGTAGTTCTATTTTTAACTTTTTGAAGAAACTCCATACTGTTTTCCAGAGTGGCTGCACCAGTTTGCATTCTGACCAATAGTGCAGAATTGTTCCACTTTCTCCACATCCTCAATAATACCTTTTGTTTCTTGTGTTGTTGATTTTTGCCATTCTGACAGGTATGAGGTGATATTGTGGTTTCAATTAGTATTTCCTGATGATGAGTGATGTTGAGTATCTTTCATGTATGTGTTGGCCATCTGTGTCTTCTTTGGAAAAATGTCTGTTCATGTCTTCTGCCCATTTTTAAATTGATTATTTGGGGTTTTTTTTTGGGGGGGTGTTGATTTGATAATTTCTTTATAGATTTTGGATACTAAGCCTTTATCAGATATGTCATTTGCAAATATCTTTTCCCATTCTGTTGGTTACCTTTTAGTTTTGTTGTTTCTTTTGCTGTGCAGAAGCTTTGTATTTTGATGAAGTCCCAATAGTTTATTTTTGCTTTTATCTCCCTTGCCTCTGGAGACATATGTAGAAAGAAGTTGCTAAGTACAATGTCAAATCTCTTGATGGAAACAATAAGGCTAAAAAGCTATGGGGTGACACCTTTAAAGAACAGAAAGAAAAAAAAACTTCATCAATATAAAATTTTTTCTCATGGAAAATACCTTTCAAAACAAACGTGAAATGAAAATACTTTCAGACATGCAAATCTGGAAGAATTCATCAGCAGCTGATCTATGCTAAAGAAATGTTAAAGGAGAAGTAAAATGATACCAGATAAAAACTTGTGTCCATGAAAAGGAATGAGGAAGGAACATAAGAAATGGTAATTATGTCAGTAAAAACTTTTTTTCTATTTCAATTTGTTAAAGGATTAAATAATAACAATTTACTGTCAGCTTTATGATATACATAGGAGTAAACTTCATGACAACGATAACATAAAAGCCCAGTAGAGAGAAATGAAAATATACATTTACTATGTATGAAGTTTTATAATATCACATGAATATTGGTATTTATATATTAAAAGTATATACTACGAATTCAAAAGCCACTAGTAAACAAAATTTAAGATTAAAAAAACAATTATATCTAATAATCCAGGAAGATATATTAACAATGTGGATGATACAGAAGAAGACAGAAAAATAAGGAAGAAAAACAAATGGACAAATAGGATAAAAATAAGAAAAATGATAGATTTAAATATCATATTCAATAACCACATTAAATGTATAGTCAATCCTCATTATTTGTGGATTCTGTATTTGCAAAGTTGTGTACTTACTAACATTTATTTGTAACACCCAAAATCAGTATTTGCTGTCTTTTTCCAGTCAGTAATCTATGGACTTGTGCAAAGCAGTGAAAATGTAAGTGCCAGACATGCAAGTTCACAGATGAAGTCAAGGCAACACTCTGTCTTCTCATTTCAGCTCACCTACTATGAACAAATGTCCTTTTTGTAGTTACTTAGTGCCACATTTTTCCATTTTTTGTGCTTGTGGTTGGTGATTTTGGTATTTAAAATGACCCCCAAGCACCATACTCAAAACGTATGTAGTGTTCCTAAGCATAAGAAGGTTGTGCCTTACCATGACAATGAGTGTGTTAGACAAATTTCATCTGGGCATGAGCTGCTTATGAGCTCAATGTTAATGAATCAACAATATATATTCAGTAAGGTATCTCTAACAAGAAACACACATGAAACAAGGTTATATATTGATTGGCTAACAAATAAGTTATAGCCAGAGCCTCTAGGAGAGAACTTTGTATTTCCCAAAGGAATGATACTTAGGTTATTCACTAATCCAGTGATCGTGATGACTTCACGTAACAACTATTGTATATATCAAGAATCAACTAGTTCTTAATTACCCAATTAAATGAAATTGCAGATTGGATTTAAAAAGTAAGACCTGCTGGGTCTCTGTCTGGTTTAGGAATCAAAGTAATACTGGCTTCATAGAATGAGTCTGGAAGTTTTCCTTCCCTTTCTATTTCTTGGAATAGCTTGAGAAGGATAGGTATTATCTCTGCTTTATCCAAGGGATACAGGAGTACTGATGCATAGGGGCACTTGTACCCCAATGTTCATAGCAGCACTCTCAACAATAGCCAAATGATGGAAAGAGTCTAAATGTCCATCAACTGATGAATGGATAAAGAAATTGTGGTTTATATACACAATGGAATACTATGTGGCAATGAGAAAAAATGAAATATGGCCTTTTGTAGCAACGTGGATGAAACTGGAGAGTGTGATGCTAAGTGAAATAAGCCATACAGAGAAAGACAGATACCATATGGTTTCACTCTTATGTGGATCCTGAGAAACTTAACAGGAACCCATGGGGGAGGGGGAGGAAAAAAGAAAAAAAAAAAAAAAAAAAGAGGTTAGAGTGGGAGAGAGCCAAAGCATAAGAGACTGTTAAAAACTGAGAACAAACTGAGGGTTGATGGGGGGTGGGAGGGAGGAGAGGGTGGGTGATGGGTGTTGAGGAGGGCACATTTTGGGATGAGCACTGGGTGTTGTATGGAAACCAATTTGACAATAAATTTCATATATTTAAATAAATAAATAAATAAATAAATAATAAATAAATATAAAAATAAAAAGTAAGACCTGGAGTACCTGGGTGGCTCAGTCAGTTAAGGGTCTGATTCTTGGTTTAGGCTCAGGTCATGATCTCATGGTTTTGTAAATTCAAGCCCTGCGTCTGACTCCACGCTGACAATGCGGAGCCTGCTTGGGATTCCCTATCTACCTCTCTCTCTGCCCCTTTCCCTCTTGCGCTGTCTCTGTCTCTCTCACAGTAAATAAATAAATTTTAATAAAAACTAAATAAATTTAAAAAATCAAGACCCAACTAATTTGCCTAAAAGAAAGTTACTTTGAATATAATGACACAGGTTTAAAAAAGAGACAGAAAAAGTTACACCATGCTAATACTAATCAAAAGAAAGCTGATTTACATCAGAGAAGATTTCAGAGCAAGAATATTATAGGGATACAGAGATTAATTTCATAATAATGATGAACAGATCAATTCTTTAAGATGTAACAATTCTCAGCATTTCTGCACGTAACATCAGAGCTTCTAAATATATGATGCAAAAACTGATGTAACTGTAAAGAGAAATATACAAATCCACAACTATAGTTGACAATTTCAACATACACCTTTCTGTAATTGATAAACAGGTCAGCAGAGTGTTAGTAACAACAAAAAAGCTTTGACTAACACTTTTTTTTTAAGTTAATGGTCTTTTTATTGGAAAAAAAGACTAGCATTTACAACTTGGAATGGACGTTAACTTGTAATTTCTTGAACAGCAATGTCGATGGTTGTGCTGAAGAGTCCACAGCCACAGCCTACCTCTGCTGGCTCCAAGTCGGGTTCAGGAGGTTTTAAAAACAGAGAGTCCAAAGATGCTCCCTTGGTAAAGGTTTCTTTTTAAAAATTTGTGTGAATGGTGACAGCCCGACACCCATCTCGGTCTCTGGTACAATGCGGACAACGCTAAACCAACACACACAGGATGCCGGCAGGATGTGTCACTGTCACCACGGGTGGGGGCGCACGGAAGTACAGGGGGCCGTCCTGCTCTGTGGGGCTGCGTCTAGACGGTCTATCTATCCTTCACCCATTTTTCTGCACAGCATCCTGAGGTAAACCAATTTTAAAGGTTTGTTTTCAGTAAACCCGCTATGACAATTTATACTAACAAATTGAACTAGAACCCATTTGAAACAGGTTTTTTTACTTGTTTTTTTTTTCATTTTTCGTTTTTAATACAAAGGCCTGACTGTGCTCAATCGTCAAGTTGCATGCATGAAAAACTGGCCAGCCCAGTGTAGTAATCATTAGCAAACGGAACTGCAAGGAGTCCACTAAGTGCTTCTTTATCGTTAAGGTAGTACAAGTATTTATATCGTAAAACTGATGTGTAGCGCTTCATCTTTATGGGACAGGACCACCAAGCAATACCTGCAGATTTTGTGTGTGTGGACAGAAGGTACTTTTGACATTCAGTTTTGCTATATAGAAACAGAATGAGTAAATGAACTTTTTTTTTTTTTTTTTTTTTTTTTTGCAAGAGGTAAGTAAAAGATTCAATTTGATTCTTCTAGAGGGGGCAAAAAGGAGTTGAAAGTAGGTCTTCACTTTGCAGTCATCGTCTGTATGAATTCTTCATAGTTGGCTTGCCCATCTCCATCGATATCTGCTTCTCTGATTTCATCTACTTCATCTGTTAGTTTTTCTCCTAAGTTTGTCATGACGTGACGTAGTTCTGCCGCACTGATGTAACCATTGCCATCCTTGTCAAAGACTCGGAATGCCTCGCGAATTTCTTCTTCACTGTCTGTATCTTTCATTTTTCTAGCCATCATAGTCAAAACTTCTGGGAAGCCAATGGTGCCATTACCGTCAGCATCCACCTCGTTGATCACATTTTGCAATTCGGCTTCTGTTGGGCTCTGACCCAGTGACCTCATTGACGGTTCCAAGTTCCTTTGTTGCGATGGTACCATCGTCATCTTCGTCAAATAGGGAGAAAGCTTCCTTGAAGTCAGCAATCTGCTCTTGAGTCAGCTGATCAGCCATGGTGCGAGCGAAGGGAGGAAGAGCAGAGGGAGTGAGGGTGGCTGCACCAGCGCAGAGGCTGTGACGGCGGGGGTGCCTCCGCTGCTGCTGCTGCCGCTGCCGCCGCCCGACTCGACTCGAGTAACACTTTTAATCACCCTAGTCTAATTGACACTACAGAACACTCTGCCCAGTAAGAACAGAACATATATTATTTTCAAAAGCATTTACCAAGCAAGATAGATCAGATACTGAAAAGGAGAAACAATAAAAATCAAAGTGAAAATCAATGAAACAGAAAACGAAGAAGAAATTGAGAAAAATAAATAAAATCAAAAAAATGGGGGAAAGGTAATAAACTTGGAAAAATCTAGATTAATCAGGGGAAAAAATGAACTACAAAGATATCAATTGCCAATATCTGACATGAGAGAAACGACATCCTTACTCTACAAATATTCAAGGTTAGTAAGAGAATATTCTGAAAATTATGCCAATAAATTGAATTCATATGAAATGGAAAAATTCTTTGAAAGACAAACTATCAAAGCTCACTCAAGAAAACAAAATGAGATAATCAGAATAGGTCTATATCTATTAAAGAATTTGACTTTGTACTTAAAAATCTTTCCACAAAGGAAATTTCAGCGAATTGCTTCACCTGTGAATTTTGATCCAAGAAAGAAATATCAATTCTTGAAAAAAATCTAGGAATTATTTTAAACTATTTTAAAGTTATTTTAAATGATTTTTAAATTTTTTTAAATTGTGTTGAATATTATATTAAATAATTAAACATTGCGATCAAGGAGGACTGCTCCCAGGATTATAAAGTCCGTTCAATATTTGAGAATCAATCAAGGTAATTCACTGAGGTGGCTTTGTCATGTCAAACTGTCTAGGCTGAAATAAAGTTGACCCTTGAACAACCTGAGGACTGAGTGGCGACCACGCTCAACCTGGGGACTGGGCAGTGACCATGCTCCCCAAATGTAAGTACTAATAGCCTGTTCTTGCTTGGAAGTCTTGCCAATAACATAAACTGTCGACATATATTTTGCAAGTTCTATGTATTACATGCTATATTCTCACCATAAAGTAAGCTAAACAAAAGGTTATTCAGAAAATCATAAGGAAGAGAAAATACATTTACAGTTCTATATGAATATTTATTGAAAAGCATCCGAGAATCACCCCCCCACCCCCCCCACTACCAACCACCACCACCATTGGGGCAAGTGGTAACAGCAGTCTTGGTCCCAGCATGGTGATGTGCTGCAGCCTGGTGGCAGCACTGCCCGGAGGCACACTACAGCTGCCCTATCAACCTAGAAGTGTACCGCCTGCCCATGGCCATCAGGAGCTACAGCCACACATGAGTGAGCCAGCCTCCAGAGACCGTGAGGCTAGGGAAACCCCTTGGGGATGAGGGAAGAGGGGTAAAGGAGTACCAATGGTACATGGCTCCCTCCACCTGGTACTGGGCCCTTGAGGGCTGCTGATGGCCTGATTGGGCCTCCCCGGTATTCAGAGGTCAGCAGACTCTCTGGGCCAGTCACCTTTGATTTGGTCCCAGGGAGACTGGGGTAGGCAAGTGTAAATAAATGCCTTGCGGCTATCATTGTCAACTCAAAAAAAAAAAAAAAAAGTCTCATCATCAAGGAAATACAAATAAAATCCACAAAGAGATACCACCCCACACTTTTCAGAAAGGCTAAAATTAACAACTCAGGAAACAACAGATGTTGGTGGGGATGAGGAGAAAGGGGAAAACTTTTGTACTGCTGGAGGGAATGCAAACTGGTGCAGCCACTCTGGAGAGCAGTATGGAGGTTCCTCAAAAGATTAAAAATGGACCTACCCTACAACTCAGCAATTGCACAACTAGGTATTTATCCAAAGGATACAAAACTGCTGATTCAAATGGGCACATGTACCCCAATGTTTATAGCAGCACTATCAACAAGAGCCAAATTATGGAAAGAACCCAAATGTCTATCAACTGATGAATGCATAAAGAATATATGGCATATAGGGGTGCCTGAATGGCACTTCCATTAATATTTTAATAATTTTACAGTGAACACAGTACAGGAACATTCCCTATCATGTAATCCCTACAACAATCTTACAATGTAAACGTGTAGCAACATGCACATATTTTGCAAATGAAGCAACCAAGACGCTGTGACCTTAAATGGTTTGCCCAGGATCTTTACAATAGACCAGCATGAAATGCCCGATTGCATTTCTGGAACACTTTCCCAGGTTTTTTGATTGGTTTCTAATTCCTTTCTTATACCCCTGGGCGCTGTGCTGACTTTTTGGCCCTGAAAGCACATGAGGACCACTTTCTTTAGGGGATTGTCTACATCACTTCTAAATGCTTCCTTCACCTGTACCAGTAGCTCAGAATCTACTTTTCTATATATGTTAAAGTCAGTTTTATGCCCCTTAAATCAACCAGTGTAGAAGGCCTTTGGCTTGGTACCTTACAAACCAAAAGAACCTTTTTGGAAGACTCACTGTCACTTCCCTATCATCAAATGTTTTAGGGTCTATATTCTGTCTTACACATCTTTGTTTTTCTTTTTTTATTTTACAAATATTGATATAATGCTTACTGTATGCTAAGTCGTATTCTAAAGGTTTTAACAATGTTAAATTTTTTAATCCTTATAAGCTAAGTACCGTTATTAACTTCATTTAGAGGTAGGGGATGGAGACACACTTGCCTGAGGGCACTAGATTAGTAAGTAGCAGAGTTTTGCATAGTAACAGTTATACACAACAGAATCCCAACAGTGCCATAAAACCAACTGGCAAATTCTACAGTGTAGACTGAAATTTGAACAGTCTCAGAGAACTCTACAATAAGTCTATAAGCTCTAACATTGAAATCAAGAAATAACTGGGGCACCTGGGTGGCTCAGTCGTTTAAGTGTCCGACTTCCGCTCAGGTCATGATCTCACAGTCCGTGAGTTCAAGCCCCGCATCGGGCTCTGTGCTGATGGCTCAGAGCCTGGAGCCTGTTTCAGATTCTGTGTCTCCCTCTCTCTCTGACCCTCCCCCGTTCATGCTCTGTCTCTCTCTGTCTCAAAAATAAATAAACGTTAAAAAAATTAAAAAAAAAAAAGAAATCAAGAAATAACTGTGACTGAGGTGCCTGGGTGGCTCAGTCAGTTAAGTGTTTGACGCTTGATCTTAGCTCAGGTCTTGATATCAGAGTCATGAGTTGGAGCCTCATGTTGGGCTCCACACCCTCGCTCAATATGGAGTCTAATTAAACACACACACACACACACACACACACACACACACAGGAAATAACTGTAACCAATATGGGTAAAAATGTCTGTATGATAGACTTGAGGGCAAGATAGGAATAGTTCAACCAAAAAGGAGGAGTAACTAGATTCATAATGTTACCTGATACACTCCTGACTAGGTTCCACTTGTGTGTGTGTGTGTTTATATATACATATAATATGTTAATTAAACTAAAAATGGAAAACTTATTGCTGTCAAATAACTAAGTATGGAGCATTTTTTTTTTTTGAGAGAACTGATTTCTCGCTATTAATCTTTTTGTGGTCTTAATGCCCAGAGTTAAAATAATTCCCTCAGGTATTATTAGGGAGAATGTTGATCCATCAGGGAGATCTAAATCACATTTTCAGTCATCCTGAAAGGGAAGATAAAGTAACCTTCTAGTCTTGTTTACAGCACATATTGCCTTTAAACACTACCACATGGGGCGCCTGGGTGGCGCAGTCGGTTAAGCGTCCGACTTCAGCCAGGTCACGATCTCGGTCACGATCTCGCGGTCCGGGAGTTCGAGCCCCACGTTGGGCTCTGGGCTGATGGCTCAGAGCCTGGAGCCTGTTTCTGATTCTGTGTCTCCCTCTCTCTCTGCCCCTCCCCCGTTCATGCTCTGTCTCTCTCTGTCCCAAAAAAATAAATAAACGTTAAAAAAAAATTTTTTTTTAAAAATAAAAAAACACTACCACAAAATAAATAAATAAATAAATAAATAATAAACAAACAAATTTTACATTGATAGGTTGTCTCTATTCTTTCAAATCAATAGTTGCTGTGTAACTATCTCAAAATCTATTAAAAATAAAACAATAGCATTTAACAATTTTTGCACTTAATTTGTGCCAGGCCTTTTTCTAAGAGCTTTATATGATTACCTCACTTAATTCCTGTAACAGCCTTATGAAGTAGATACCTTTATTTCCATTTTATATATAAAAGAATTAAAACAGAATTTACACCTTCTGTGCTACCCAAGGAGGGGTCCATGTAGTGTTTTGTGTTCATGTCATAATTTAAAGGGAAACTTTTACAATGTCTGGAGCCCCTCCTACAAATGAAGGATGTCCTCAAATTCTTTGCAGCAGGAACCCGCTTAGGTGACACCAACCTTGACTTCCAAATGGAACAGTGCATCTACAAAAGGAAAAGTGATGGCATCTATGTCATAAATCTGAAGAGAACCTGGGAGAAGCTTCTGATGGTAGCTCGTGCCATCATCGCCATTGAAAACCCAGCTGATGTCAGTGCCCTATGATCCAGGAATGCTGGCCAGTGAACTGTGCTGAAGTTTGCTGCTGCTCCTGGAGCCACTCCTATTGCTGGTCACTTCACTCCTGGAACCTTCACTAACCAGATCCAGGAAGCCTTCAAGGGAAGAGATTTCTGATGGTTACTGATCCCAGAGCTGACCACAAGCCTCTTGCAAACGTCCTATGTTCACCTGCTTCCCATCGCTCTGTATAACACAGACTCTCCTCTGTGTTATATGGACATTGCCATCCCTTGCAACAAGAGTGTGTCTGATGTGGTGGGTGCTGGCTTGGGAAGTTCTGCACATATGTGGTACCGTTTCCTGTGAATGCCCATGGGAGGTCATGCCTGTTCTCTACTTCTACAGAGATCCTGAAGAGATTGAAAAGGACGAGCAGGCTGCTACTGAAAAAGCTGTGACCAAGGAGGACTTTCAGGGTGAATGGACTGTTCCAGCTCCTGAGTTCACTGTTACTCATCCTGAAGTCGCAGACTGGTCTAAAGGCATGGAGGTGCACTCTGGGCCTATTCAGCAGTTCCCCACTGAAGGCTAGAGCGCTCAGCCTGCCACTGAACACTGGTCTGCAGCTCCGCCTGCTCAGGCCACCGAATGGGCTAGAACAACCACTGAGTGGTCTTAAGCTGCTCTTCCACAAAGGCAAACAAAATGGAAATAAGGTTGATGGAAAATAGTTTCTAAATAAATAAATAAACAAACAAATAACAGAGTTTACCTAATTGGTCCAAGGTCATTTAGCTAGGAAAAGAAATAGATTTAAATCCAAAAAGTCTGACTTCAAAACTTTTGCTACCAACCACTAATGATAGAAAAAGCTGTTAGAATAATATGATTACAGCTGATGAATTTGGCATCCAGAATCCTTGTCCATATTCCTATTTTAATTTCTCAAAAGTCCCTGGAAAATTACTGAATATCAACCACAATCAGGAAACCAAAGTGTGGTGTCTCCCAAATACTCAGAAAAAAGGAAGACTATCGTATAAATACTCTAATTATAATAACACAATGCTACCTGAAATTGAATGTCTATGGAAGGCATTTTAAAAGACTGTTACCTCGTGGCTTATGATCACTGCCCAAGAAAAAGATAAGGTCTTCTGCTGGATTCTAAGAACTTAACAATAGACTAAATTTTTGACCAACAATTCCATGTTATCAATTTTATGTGTTTCAAGACTCTTAATGGAGGAACTAAGATTGTGATGATGTATTTATGCCTAGTTTGCAATTAGTTCTGAAATATCCTATTTGCTTACCATAAATTTGATACTTTAACTCTCTCCTCCTCACATATTATATAAGACCCATAAAAATTAGTAGAAACTATTTATGTAGCCTTATTATATACCAGACACAGTCCTAAGCACTTTATGTATTTTAACTCTTTTAATTCATACATCAGACTTATTAAATAAGTAGTGTTATAACCACCATTTTATACATAAAGAAACTGTGGCATACAAAGGTTATCTTCAAGGTCACTTACTAGTGCAAATGGTAGAGACTACATCTAAAGAAGGTAGTCTGGGCAAAAAGATGATGTTCATAACCATGATGTTATATGATAATGAGATGATCCACCTATCCTAAAATACCATTAGTGTCACAGAGCTATGTCCTCTCTTGGGGAACTCATTGCCAGATATTCGCTAAGCATTTATTGAGTTCCAGTTTTCCTAGTTACCATTCAAAGTCTGTACCAACAGTGACTTTACAAAGCGAGAACCATATTTCATTCTTTCTCATTGCCACGTAGTATTCCATGGTGTATATAAACCACAATTTCTTTATCCATTCATCAGTTAATGGACATTTAGGCTCTTTCCATAATTTGGCTATTGTTGAAAGTGCTGCTATAAACATTGGGGTACAAGTGCCCCTATGCATCAGTACTCCTGTATCCCTTGGGTAAATTCCTAGCAGTGCTATTGCTGCGTCATAGGGTAGATCTATTTTTAATTTTTTGAGGAACCTCCACACTGCTTTCCAGAGGGGCTGCACCAGTTTACATTCCCACCAACAGTGCAAAAGGGTTCCCGTTTCTCCACATCCTCTCTGGCATCTATAGTCTCCTGATTTGTTCATTTTAGCCACTCTGACTGGCGTGAGGTGGTATCTCAGTGTGGTTTTGATTTGTATTTCCCTGATGAGGAGTGACGTTGAGCATCATTTCATGTGCTTGTTTGCCATCTGGATGTCTTCTTTAGAGAAGTGTCTATTCATGTTTATTGCCAATTTGACAATAAATTCATATTAAAAAAAAGTGAGAACCCATTACCTTTAGATTTAACTCAAGAAAAAATTAGTGGTTTAATACTGCTTCAAAAATATGAATCATTTTATTTTTTATTTTTTTTTTATATATTGTCAGATTTTATTTTATTTTTTTTATTTTTTTTATATATGAAATTTATTGTCAAATTGGTTTCCATACAACACCCAGTGCTCATCCCAAAAGGTGCCCTCCTCAATACCCATCACCCACCCTCTCCTCCCTCCCACCCCCCATCAACCCTCAGTTTGCTCTCAGTTCTCAACAGTCTCTTATGCTTTGGCTCTCTCCCACTCTAACCTCTTTTTTTTTTTTTTTTTCCTTCCCCTCCCCCATGGGTTCCTGTTGAGTTTCTCAGGATCCACATAAGAGTGAAATCATATGGTATTTGTCTTTCTCTGTATGGCTTATTTCACTTAGCATCACACTCTCCAGTTCCATCCACGTTGCTACAAAAGGCCATATTTCATTTTTTCTCATTGCCACGTAGTATTCCATAGTGTATATAAACCACAATTTCTTTATCCATTCATCAGTTGATGGACATTTAGGCTCTTTCCATAATTTGGCTATTGTTGAGAGTGCTGCTATGAACATTGGGGTACAAGTGCCCCTTGGCTGTATACATCGACTTGATAACTGAACCAGTTTAATGAAGGAACTATTTACAGAATTGCGGGGAGGGTTATAGGGACCAACCAGGGAAGGAGAAGCATTAGGACTCCAAGAGCCAGAAGCTGTTCCCATTTCCATTCCGGAGAGGGAAAAAGATGTTGCTATACAGGACACCATCAAGAGCAGTAATGGTGGTAGAGGGTCTGCAACAGTAGCAGCTGTGGTGCTAGGTAGAGGAACACAGCCACTGCCAAACCACAGCCCAATAAATGGGAGGCAAAAATATATACTCTGACTTCATTCTCCTCCCATCAACCAATCTCCCGCTGGTGCCTTGATTGGCTGAACAGAGGGCAAGGGAGAGTATGTGATAGAGTCTACAGACTTCAGAATCCTAGCACGCAGAGCAGGGTGGGATCCGATGCTGATCTGGAAGGACAAATGGAAAATAACTAATACTCCTTACTGCTCAGTACTTGGTACTTCATCACCTGAGAGGAAAACAGGAAACAGCAAGAGAGACCTATATTTGGTAAAATGAAGACTTGTCTAGAAGAGCCTCATAATTACTAAAATTGGCTACATTGGCATGGAAGTTGAAGAGATATTGTATGAAAAATTTTAAGTACAAAATTTGCATCACTTTTACCAGGCTCAATTCTCTCCCTGGTAATAATCACTGCTTTTTAAAATTGTTTAAATTAAGGTGACTTTCTTCCATCTACAGAACCCACATTTCATGGTTTCTCTTTTAGAGATTTTGCTTTTGTTCATTTGACCGGCAAATGTTATAATTCTGCCTCAAAACATCTTTATATTCATTTCCTTCTCTCTTTTCTATTACTGTTATTTCAAGTTTTTATCAACCAAGCCTACTACTGGCCATGACAACAGTGAACTCCAAGTCCTTGAAATGACAGGCTGTTCTCTGCCCAAAGTCCTGACTATGCTCTCTGAATATAACATAAAATAAATTCAGACAATGGCACCAGGAATTTCACAGAGAAAGATCCTTTACTGATTGTGTTTTCCAATTTGCATGTAATTTGCAGTAATTTTAACTGTGCAAAAACTGTGCATTTAATTACCATTCATTCTTTCTGACTTCTTTTAGGGAGTCCCATTAATTAAGGTGAGATTTAGATAAATTTGGTTCTGCTGAATAAGGAAAACTGACTTGGATCTTTATGTAAAAATTAAACATTCAAAGGATTCTATTAATAAGCATTAATGTTCTCTCTGGTCCAATTTAGTTTTTGAGAATTTAGTGTTGTTGTCCCTTACCAAACTGTCCTTCATGTTTTGTTTTCATTTAAATCCCAGTCAGTGAACATAAGTGAATATTACTTACAGGTGTACAATTTAGTGATTCACACTTATATACAATACCCAGTGCTCTTCCCAAGTGCCCTCCTTAATTCCTATCACCTACTTAGCCCATCCCCCCACTCACCTCTCCTCTGGTAACCATCAGTTTGTTCTGTATGGTTAAGAGTGTTTTCTTGTTTTGCCTCTCTCTTTCTCCTCCCCCTACCCTGATCATTTGTTTTGTTTCTTAAATTATACATATGAGTGAAATCATATGGTAGTTGTCTTTCTGAGTTATTTCACTTAGCATAATACTAACTAGCTCCATCCGTCTCATGGAAAATGGCAAGATTTATTCTTTCTTATGGCTGAGTAATACTTCTTTGTGTGTGTGTGTGTGTGTGCGTACCACAACTTCTTTATCCATGCAGCTTCTTGCTAGATATATCTTCTGAGGAAAGGGAAGCAAAAGCAAAAATAAACTATTGGGACTTCATAAAAATTAAAATCTTCTGTACAAGGAAGGAAACAATCAATAAAACTAAAAGCCAATGTACAGAATGGAAAAAAAAATTGCAAATGACATATCTGATAAAGGGTTAGTACCCAAAATCTATAAAGAACTTATAAAACTTAACACCCCAAAAAACAAAAAATGCAATTAAAAAGTGGGCAGAATGGGGCACCTGGGTGGCTCAGTTGGTTAAGTGCCCAATTTCGACTGAGGTTATGATCTTGTGGTTTGTGGGTTGGAGCCCCACGTCAGGCTCTGTGCTGA